TATATATTAGAGAAATAATTACAGAATATAATTAAACGACAATCTGTGTGATAGTATATTTCTTAACTCCAATAAAAATTAATTATGTATTATTCAGATTGAAATTGATATTAAAATATAACCTATGAGGCCTCATATATTTATATTTTTTTAGGTTTAAAAAACGTATTTAAATTTTACACACTTGTCTTTCTAATTTATCGAAGCACAGTTATTTATTACTTCTATTCGAAGTTTTGCATTTTAATCAGCATTTTAACTCCAATAAATATTAGAAAATAGTACACTGAAACGACTTATTTGATAAATTACGCTTCCTGCACTGTACTGTACTTTTTACACTACATAAGTTCTTATAGCTGAACTTCATGCACTTTTCATTTGCCTATACATTGCAAAATCCTTGCAAAAAAAATTTAAAACAAGATAAATCTATACTTAAAAAAAGAAAAAGCGATGATACTGAGGGCAAAAAGTTCAAACAACGCAAACAAATCTATTACGACTAGAAAAAAGGAATATAAATTTAAAAAAGTGTAAAAAATATAGTATTTTTTGGGTAAATAACCGCGTCAGTTGACGCGTCAATTTCTTTGCGCGTGCGCGGGAAGTCCTTTACCAAGTAATGATAGGTTATTGGCGAATTATCGGTAAGTGTTGCAAACTTTTGTAATGTTTAGATTTGGTAATAGAAAAGAAAATTAATGAAAGGCACAGACGACATATAGTAAATTGACGATACGAGTATATTAATATATCGAGGTGCGTGAAAACCGAAGTTTGGTGCAATTTGGCGCAATCGTTGTCCTTTATCGAGAATATACAAGGTGGTGATAAAAAAAGTGATTAATTAATGTCAAAAGACTTTTATGACATGAAATAATAAACATCGACATTATTTTCAGCCCGATTTTCTTAAAACGACTATTTTTTTTCGAATCACATTGCAAGCTACTTTTTAATTTTTAATATAGCTATTAATATATTGATGTCAGAATGCCTGTACGTTTTCATGCGTTGTCCGATATTTGTCAACGTTTGGCTTGCTAAACTGAATCATGAAATCTGTAGATATAAATGTAATTTGGAAACATATGTGATATCAAAGTTATAGAGAAAGATTAATGCTAGAAGCACTAACGTTTCTGATTCACTAAAAGGGCAAATAAATTGATACATAGTTGCTTTCCATTTGTATCACAACTCGGACATTTGTGACGTTACAACTCGGTTGAATGCATGTTCCTTTTTATTCTAACAAGTACAATTGAACTGAGTTTTTACCTAAAATCTACACTAGCTCAAAACGATGCGTTTTATTGATTGTAAGTCTGACTCATTAAATGTGAGGTTATGAACCTGTATTGTTATGTGATAATTTTGTCAAAATGACGTCATTATTCGAATATAAAATACATAATTTCAGATTCATTATCACCTGTGTGAAAATGGAAAGCAACTACTATAAACATAAAGCAAGTGATGGAAAACCAAATATTTTTATGCTGTGTGTAAGCCAGCATAAAATATTTTTAATATATTTCTGAAATATTTTAGACATTTTTTATGAAATATTTCAAAAGATGATTCACATAAATATTTAATATTAATTTAATGCTGTGTGGGAAAGGATATAATTATTAAGTCAAAAAAATTTGAGAATCTTATCTTTTAAGAAGTATAATATTAATCTAAAACTAGAAATGATCACTGATCGCTTGGTATTTTTAGTATTAAAAGGATTTAGAAGAAAGAGAGAAAGAAAAACAGAAAGGAGATAATTCTATTTTGATGTATAATTTAATAATTTTGCATGTTTTATTTGAGCAGCGAACAACTAAGCTAAAAGATGCAGCGCCTGGGAATTCAGACTGTCCGTACTAGCAGAACCCTTTTGGGCAGTAGATTGTACACCACAGCACCTGCCCAAGAACAAGTGGTACCTGCTGCCTTCAAGGTCCAGGATCACAAAGATTTCGATGAGCGCGTGATGAACTCCAAAGTGCCTGTTATCGTGGACTTTTTTGCCACGTAAGTATTATGTGCATTTGTAGTTCCATATTTCAGTAGAATTGTCTCATAAATTTTTATTAAATAAATCAAACTGACAATAGAAGACGGTATTCACAACAGAATAATATAGCTCAGTAATATTACATGTATAAAGCCTTTTCTATACTCTAATATATTTTGCAGTTCTAATTATAGAAAATGATAAATACAGTCACAACTACATTTTTATTATGAAATCTCTGTCTTCTATTAATTTTCAATTTATACTTTGCATCGTTTATACTCCAATTGCATTCTTTTATTTTAAAGTTGTATTTATTTTAAGTTTGTATTAAAAGATTCTCTAATTTTATTCTGGAATTTTGAACAAAAATACTCAGGAATTTTGAAGGAATTTTCTTCAAAGATTTCAGTAAATACCCTGTGTGTAATCATTTCAGATGGTGTAATCCATGTCGTATGCTGACTCCACGAATAGAAACAGTTGTTGCCGAAAAACAGGGAAAGATATTGTTAGCCAAAGTTGATATTGACGAGCATACAGATCTCGCTCTTGATTATCATGTACGTATTCTCTTTTATAATTTCAGTACAACAGTCGTTAAGCATTAGGTCTATTCTTTTCAATTGAATAGCTTGCATGGTTCATGTTTCCTTTTTTTCTCTCACATTGAAGAAAAAAAGAGAAAAGATGATGATGCAGGTTCAGCTAACAAAAAGAATAAGTCTTTTTAAATTCATAAATTGATGACAGATTTTGTGTAATTATTTTAAAGTTGAGAATTTCCCAAGTGAAAGGTTCAGGATTATAATTGAACAATTGTATGAGCGTAATTTTTTATGATTAATTTTGAACTTGGATATTTAAATCATATTTCATTGTGCACTTGTGTTTTTAGGTCGGCTCGGTGCCTGTCCTCATTGCTATGAAGGATGGCAAGGTTCTAGAGAGAATAGTCGGTCTTCAAGATACTGACAAACTCAGACAGTTTGTTAACAAGTATGCGGAGTAACGTAATTAAAAATTATTATTATGTAAATTATCTCTAATGTTGCAGTTCTTGTTAATCTTTGTATAGAGAATTTTTACATGATACTTCGAAATCTGCAATTATGTTTATAGTACATTTTTCTTAGCTATTATATATAAATGTGTAATATTGTGCAAAACAAATTTTGATTTCTCTCGACAATGCAGATTAAATAAAATGTTCTTATCAATGAAATCCGAAGCACTTTTTTAAAATATAAACTTCTTTATTTGTAACGAATTTAAATAAAATACGAAATAAAATTATCATTTTAAGTTGCATATAATCTTCTCATATAAAAGATGTTAAGGCTTTATGAAGGTTGGAAAATTTCAGACATTTTAAATGACAAAATGACTTGCTTTTTTATAACAAAATAAATAAGTAGATATCTGTATTTCTTTATTCATGATGTCATAATCATTAAAAAATATATTTAGTTAAATATAATTAATTTAATTAAATATTAAATATTTATTTTTTATTAATTAATAATTAATGTAATCTGTATAATTATTATATCAGATAAATATGATATTCATTATTCATAAATATTCATTTTAATCTCAAATAAAATGTTTGAAATTTTTCGTAGCCCTGCTTTTTTAATATAGTTAACTCTTAATGTCCAGATTAGTCATCACTACACACAATCACGTAATAGTACAATGAGAAGTTATGGAACTTCTTCACACAAGTTTCTTAAAAATTGTTTAAAAAGAAAGTTTAAGTTGTTTGCTATTTCTCGAATCTTACATGTTAAAAATTGCTCTTCTTAACAATTTTTCATCTATTTTATCTTAAAATTGTTTAAAATTGAAACTATTTGTCAGTTGGTAAAGTCTGTAAAAGTTGTCTCGCTCTTTTATAAGTAGTTGACATCATAATTTCATTTTTGTTATCTTCGTCTGTCTCTGCCTCAGCTTTCCTTATAATTTCCATTCCCTTACGTAATAACACTTCGCGTGCCATACCTTTACAACCTTCGAAATATTCCAGAACGACAGGAAAAAGATTATCAGAAATAGAATTCTCATCCAATAAATTATCCATCAGCCAGATCTGTTTAAGTTTCTCGAACTTCCATTCATTCCTAGAATGTTTCCACTGTAAAAATAATTTTGATTTATCAATTTGAAAAATGTTAATTAAACAATTAATTAATTGTCTCCATCAAAATCATAAATAAAAAAGAAAGACAGATAAGACTTTATTATTAGAATTAACAGTATGTGTTCATCTCCTATTAATCTTATGTTCTTTTTACAAATGTCAATAAATTGCCAAAATGCTTACAGATGGTTATGCGCAAACAGAAGAAAACATTTGTATATTGTATTTATATAAGGTATTCCAGAATCAAGCCTTTAATATTAATGAATGATTCAAACAATTAACAGCTTACCAGGGATACATAGTTTAATGCTTTTTGCATGGCATATGATCTACGAGATTCCATCTTTTTAACAGCTGCCTGGACAGCCTTCTCTTTTTTTAACTGCCTTTTAGATGGATTCTTAGCAGTCTTTACATTCTCGTCTGAAACTTCCTTTGAAGATAATACTGATTTTGAAGTCTCAATATCGGTAGTGGCATCATTACTAAAAAAAATTGTTTAATCAAATCTTTATATGTCATTATTTATCAATAAATTTTTTAAAACTTTATAAAAAACGTTAATATTATAATTTTTATTTTGTAATTTTAGTATGATTAATATTTTAATATAATTTAATACGTGACTTAATATAGTTGCTATTAAAATGTTTTATGTATCAAATTTCAACTTAAAAAATAATTTCGTTTATATCACAAGAAAGAAATTTTAAATCTTTTTACCTGACTTCATTCGACTTCAATCTTCTTTTTTTCTTCTTTTGATTACTTTGTACAATATTCTCTTGAGATGTCTTGTCAGTTTTGTGATTATTGTTCTTGGGAGCTATAAAAACATTTATTACATAATATTACTTAATATATATGTGTAGATACATATCTTATAATTAATTTCGAATATTCCTTTAAAATTTTAAATAAAGAAAAAAGGAAAAACTTTTTAAAATGTAATGACAAATGTAAAACTTCACATTTGTTAATATTTATTCTTTAACAGATCTCTCTGGAACTCCCTTTTTCATTTCTATTCCTATAATATTCATTTTTATGCTAAATTGTTCTTTTTACGGACAATTTTTAATAATAAATAATTACCAAAAGGACAAAATCTTTTGTCCTTTTTAGAAGAGATAATACTATTTTGATTTATTATATTATATACAGATGTGTTTACAGGAAGAGTCTATATTAATAATAAAATATTTTAACAAGATTAATACTATATAGAAATGAATCCAATCATTCGCAGATGAACGATAAAGCTGATTAAGAGAAACAAATAAATACATCTCAAAATTGGCAACTGACCGTCAGCCTTTTCCTTTTCTTTCTGTTTCCTTTTACGTTTCAGTTTCTTCGTATTATCGCTATTCATTTTGTATGAATATGAGAGTGACACTTTTAAATTTGTCTCATCGATGCATTCGCGATCATAATATTCAACACATTACTCTCTACTCGATAAACCACGATAAACTAGATGAATGTAATACACGCCAAGCCATGCGGTCGACAGATGCGACTAACCTAACCTAACCTTAACGTAAATCTAAACTCTAGCCAAACCTAATCTACATCTCTACAATTTATTGTAGATGTTGACGTTATACAATTTATTTTTATAAAAATTGATCAATCACAATTGAATATTCTCTTCATACTAGACTGTGATTCTTACAACTATAGGTTGAGACAAGTTTGAATTTAGTAAAGTAATTGCTAAATAAATGAAAGAGACTCGGAGACTTCTGTTATATAATTGCCATGTAATACAAAGGAATTTTGTATAGAAAAATATTTCCTCTTATCAGGAAAAATATTTCTTAAAACGACTGAATAATGAAATAATACTGCGCCTCTTGTAACATGGAAATGATAAGAAAAAAGATAAAAATAATAGAATTTGTAGCGATCATTTGACAAAATTTATTTTCAACAGACTTGTTTGACTGGGTAATCTTTAGCTGTAAAAATGACGAACAATTTGTTAATATTCATTCCACAAACACTGTGCACCGAAAAATCCGGCTATGTACTTGGTAAAGTAATACATGACACCTGCAGTGACTTAAAAAAGTTTTACATCATCAGTTTGCGTAAGATGGATCCAGTAGAATCAACTAAGTCTACGTTAGATATTATTGGATATCATTCCAATGAGAATGAGGCTATTGACGAATTTTTGGAACGTAAGCACGCAAACTGGGTACACATTGTGACAAAGCCTTCAGAGGATGGACAGGACAAAGAATATTGTCTGTTGAAAATCACTGTTAACAATAAAAAAATTAATCTGTCAGCAATACGCACGATGATTGTTTTGTACAATCAGCGGGCATTACGGGAAACAGAATTATTTGAGAGCAAAACAACGTCGGGCGATCACTTTCACGAGCTTGCTAAGCTTGTACAGAGCAAAAAGGACGAATTGAAAATCAAGTCTAGATTTGTTCGCATCTGGGAGACTTTGCTGATTTATTACGTATCGTTTTATTTGCACATTGTCTCGTTTCTATCAAAGGCAACAGACAGATTATTGCCAATTTTGAAGTACTCTTCTCTTGGCTTGCATATCCATGATTGGCTTGAAAATGTCAAGTGGATGTTAGCAACAATTATAAGGAATAGGGGCATTAAACTGAAAACTGGAAACTATGCTCTAGCAATTGTAATAGATATGACATTAGGAATTCTGGTATTGCAATTACTGAGATATTATATCGAAGATCAGCCATCACAGCTCCTTCTAAACAATGCAGAGGCAAGTTTAGATATACTTATTATGTACATTAACAAAATAATTTTTTATATTTACTTCTTTCTAGTACAAATTTAAATTAAATATATTTTGAATTTAAATTATTTAATTTAACAAATTTGATCTGAGAATTAAAATTAATTTGAAACAAAGAAGAAAATAAAAGACTGTTTATACAAAATTAAATATTACATATTTGAGATACATTTTTGGTTCCATTTTGGTTCTATTTTTGTTTCTACCAGCTTTAATAATTGAAATTTCTATTCAACAGAAAGTTGTGGAGAGTTTGAAGGAGCTAATTAATTGGTTGATGGGTGTACCAGCTGGTCTAAAGCTTAATCATGCTTTAAACAATACTATGGGCAAGTTTTTCTTGTATCATATACAGCTCTGGTGGACATTTTTAATATTCTTAAAGCCACTTCTGGATCTCGCGTTCGAAGTACTACTCTTATTTGGAAAACTCGGCATCACATTTCAAATATCCATCGTTGCAGACCTTCTGGCTCTCGTCAGCTTCCACACGTACTGCATTTACGTTTATGCAGCAAGGTATAATGTTCTTCTAATGTGATGAAATTATTGATTTAAAGTAAAAAAAGCTACAATTTACAAATTACAATTTTCAAAAAAGCTACAATTCATCACAGGCTCTTTAATATCCAGCTGAGAGGAATCACGGCTCTCTTTAGACTTTTCCTTGGGAAGAAGAAAAATCCCCTGCGCGAAAGAGTGGATTCTTGTCTGTATCAGACAGACCAGTTGTTTGTTGGGACGCTGTCATTTACCATTCTCCTGTTCCTAATGCCCACAACGTGGGTGTACTACACTGTATTTACTCTGGTAAGAATAACTGTAGTTTTAATCTTTTTAAATTCTTCCGATAGATATAATTGTAGTATTATGTATAGCTTGGTTGCAGCTCAGATTAGTGTCCATCGCATTTGGCGGTTTTCTGACCAGACTGAAATTCTATCTGCAAGTTATGCCTGTTTATACCTTTTGGAGATGGTTGCTACGGTCTTACTGCACTTGTAGTAAGTAGCATAGACGTACATTGCATCTCGAGGAAAGATTGTAAACAAAGGAAAATTGCATAAAGTGAATTTATTTATCCTTCACATGCAATACACATTATCAATGATAGCAAAATATCATTTTTTTAATATAATCGTCTAGCTTTGCAGCACATTTTGTAACAGCCTTCAAATCTTTCGTCTGTGAAGATTTTCGACCGCCTTCGAAATGACATATGCATTCTCGGTTCAATTTTCCTTAACTCTAACTTATTTTTTCATTTTTCCTTGATAATAACTCATTGTTGCCAGATAGAAAGTATTAATATTGCAAATAATTTTGGCAGGTATTGTTGACATCAGATTACATCCTTCCTGTACACAAGAAGTGACAGTATTATCAATGACAATGGTCGTGGCTCCTTGGAGGCTCACATGGAAAAAGTGTATTCCAGACACAATTATTTGCCATCCATCCATCGAGTGGTGCACAATATTGAATAATATTATTTGGGGCCATTTATTGTATCCGTTATAAAGAAACATTACATTAAATGTGTTAATATTTTTTTATTTACACACTAAAAGACATTTTTCTTAATAAATTCTTTCCTGCTATTCTGTATACAGATATGTATTTAGATAAATATTACTGTACATTAAATCAAATGTCTGCTAAGATAATTCTTATGGAAAGCGTATGTACATTATACAACAAAAACAATTATCTAACAAAGAATGTTGCAAAACAAACCGAGAAGTGCTATTTCAGATAAATAGATGTCCTATTTTGACTTAAGTTTTAACTTCTCTTCTTCTTCCTTCTTCACTCTGCTTAATGTTTCGTTCAAGTCACAATATATTAAATTATCGATATCGTTCTCATCTCTTAAGATACAGAAATAAATTAGAAAGACAACTAAGCTTGCTGATACAACATATCCCTGATACCATGGTCTACTATCTTCATATGGATTGCGATACTCTTCAATTCTCATAGTAGCAGCTTTTGACATGGAATATTTTATAGGCTTATCCAAGTCATCCTCGCTTTCCAATGCTGTGCTTTGATTCCTAGAAGCAATCTCTTCCCATCTACTTTTACTATTGCATGATATCTGTCGTACATTGCATCTGCAAGAAGTAAATCTTCTTACATTATTACTATTTATTATTTAAATTGTTTAACAAATTTCAACAAATCGAAATCAAGCTCTAATGAAAATAAATCAAAGTAATACCTATAAGAGCCAACATGAAATATTCAAGTGTATATTAATTTCGTTTTATTCAATTAAGATCAGATTCAATTCATAAATCTTGATTTCAATTTCTTTGAAAACGTTTCAAGATTATGAATTATACATTTAATTTTTTAATAAATAAAATTTTTAATTTAAAGCTCTTTTGAGAAATCGCACAGTTGCTTTTCATATAATAAACTTAAAATGTATATATTTCAATAATAAAAACGAAAAGATCTTAATTTGATCAAAGATTTCAATAATAATTACCTTCTAAACAGTGCACTCTTACTGTATAGCAAGAGACTGTTTTTGATGATGTTGCCTAACATTGATGACACTAGGATCAGCCAGAGAATAAAAACGAGATCAAACTCAAGCGGCCAGTGACCAGTCACGAAAAAAGTGGGCTCGAGATTTGAAACGAAATGTAGAAAAACCACTTCTATCAGAGAGAAACCTGAGAGAGGACATGACGGTCCAAAATTTGTAACCGCAAAATGTTGTCCGCACTACTGCTCTCTGACAAAGTGAGTGTAAACTACATAGCAACATCCATTTTTCTTACGGTATATCGTCCATTTTGAAAAGTGAATGTACCCTAATAAAATTTTCGGCTCGACCGGCAACAACTTAAGTTGGAAAATGCTTCGCTATTGGTTGACGTTACATGTTCTACCAATAGCTTCTCTCTCAAGTTTCTCTCTGGTAGAAAAATCGACAACAGAAACATTTCACTTACAAATTTCCTTTGAAAAAGGATTAAGGCTTAAACACAATAGGCACAGGCAATCGATATAGGCAACAGTGAATAACGAGTCGTCCAATCAGAGCTCCGGTGTGTAAGTTCGATATTACATCCCAGAGCTCCGATTGGACAGCTCGTTATTCCCTGTTCTCTATTGTGCCTATTGCGTTTAAGCCTTTACTGTAACCATCTACGAGAGTCGTGCAAAAAATAATGGGCTTTTAAAAAAAGAAAAATACTAACTAAGCGATATTATTCATGAAGACTGAAGAAAACATTTTAACGTCCTCATTAATTTGAAAAAGATTATAAAGATATAGTATTGTATTTCTCCAAGAATAATTAAGAAAACGAAGAAACATGGACTTGCTGTATACCGTCAACAGGAGGAGTTCTTCCAAATTTTTTTCCAATCAAGAATGGTATATTTTTTTAAGATATAAGGCTTGGTTTTTCTATTCCTGCACTAGATTGCACTAAAACTTTCTTTCTCAGCTTCATTAAATGTCAAAATATATCTATTTCATTTTATTCTAAAAGTGTATACCAGTTTCAGCTATAAAAAATAGACCTATAAATAAAATATCATTCACAGCTAATACATAAAATTTTGTATAATACTTGAGTTGATTAACAATTTGCTTTCTCAGTTTATACAATGGACAATCGTTGTGTTCCTTATCCAGTCGAAATATAGTGGCGTTTACTACAATGACAGAGTTAGATGACAGCAATGGCAAGACACGGGGTTGCCATGTTTATGTAACAGATTTAAATATGCCATGGCATGCTCATAAGTAAGCACTTTGCTCATAAGTAAAATCTTTTAATTTCTTTGTAATATTCTTTAAAGAATATAAATTACAATACAAATCTTATCTAGTCTCTTATTAAATGTCTATCAATTTGTTTTTAAAAAGCCAGCAAGTCAAGATAAAACTGTAATAATAAGTATTTCTTGTATTTATCTAGAGTACTTTCAAATAAACACAACATTACTGCATTAGAATGGGATCTGCCTGGTGACAAATTGGTAATGGCTGATACAGCTGGAAATGTACAGTTATGGATGTTCAAGGATCATATTTTGAATGATTGGGTATTAATAGGTTCTTCATATTTCCCTGGTGAGCACATACTAGGTGCAGCATGGTTTCACAATGGCAAAAAGGTATTTAGGTGAACAAACTGATGAAATTAGACAACAAAGTTTTTTTTTACTTATATTACCAGGACAGAAACTATATTAGATTATCATTTTATTATTCTTTTATATTACTACATTTTTATAACTAATGAATATTTTTCTCAGAATTTTTCAGAATTCCCTGATAGAAATAAATCACTAAGATCATTGAAAGTTTATGTCAATTGGTTCATTTCGGTATGAACATGGATTTCAGTGATTTATTTCCACCAGGATTGTTATATAAATTTCAGAATTTTTGAATGATTTTATAATTATTTAAAAAATTTTTCAGAAATGCCAAGAAAGCATTTTTTCTAGATTTCTTCATATGAATTCTGAAATATTCTAAGATATTTCAGAATTCATAATTTATAATTTGAGGCGAAACGTATAAAATCTGAGGAAGTAAAGTATAGAGGAAATTATAGAATCACGTGAAAAATTATAAAAATTATGAAAGATTTTACGAAAAGACATAGGCCGATATTCATAATCTGTTCTTATTTCAAAATTGTTTTAAATAATGTTTTAAAATGCTAATATGGCTCTTTGATTGATTCACGACCTCTTAAGATTATACTTAAGATGGTCTTGAATATAAGAATCGTTATGAATGCCGTCCATAGACTTTCTCAGTATTTCTGAAATGTGTTTTAATTCGTCTAAAAATTTTAAGAAAAATTTTATCAGAGTTTTAAAAAAATATTCAAGTCACATGCAGATACATGATCAAAACTTGAAACAGATATATATAGTTTTTATATTTTTATCTTTTCTTTTAATGTCTTCTTTTATTAATTCCACAGACAGGCTTAGTAACAGAAAAGAAAGATAGTATCCATTATAGCGAGAAATTTAATCACCTACTGTTCGCACCTTCCGTGAGGCAATTCGGCGGAAGAGCCGCCGAAGGCGTGCTGGTGGTATCGACGACGGGCATGGTTGGTGCAATCATGATCACTAAGGATCTTCAAAATCCGATTTGCTATTCGACAGAGAGTCTAGGCAACACGAGACACAGGATAACCGCGGTCGATTTGTGCTATGGAAAAAGTACTTTTTCTCACGTCATAAAACTATTTGCGAATGCAGACGATATAATGAGGATGTTGCGATAATTTGTTTTTGGAATTCCAGACGGCCACTTTCTCGTTGCGGTTAGTAGCGGTAGCATCTGCTTGCCTATAAGATGTTTTAGAGTACTAGTGCGCAAGAATGATGATAAGTGCACCATTACCTCGCAAGCTTTACCGAGTTTTTTTCTGCAAGATGGGGCACCTAAAGATAATTCATGTAAGACTGAATGGTTTATGACAGTATAAACAGTTCATTTTTTTTATAGATACAATTCTTTTTCTAGCTGAACTTACACAATTCCTCTTTCTTTTTTATTCATGGATAAAATCGAAAAAAAAAGAAACGATGAACTGTGCAAAAAGTTCAGCTATAAAAAACAGAAGATCTATACTGTATCTGATCTAACTGTACCTGCAAAAGATTTACTCTTTTGCAGGTACAGTTGTAACTCATTTAAAGTTCGTGGTCAGAGAAGATGCCGATTCTCTGGTTATTGCGGCAAACAGTGAGAGCGGTGGATTTGTTGAGGTGTGGGAGTTGCGGGAGAAGTCGCAACCGGTTCACAAATTATTTCAGCCAAAGACATTAGAACCTTTCAAGACGGTCGTAAGTATTCAATTAATTAATCAATCAATATTTTCGTTTTTAGTAAATTTTAGCATGTGAGAGATATGTGTAAGAGTGGCAATAAAGAAAGAGAGAGACAAGACATATCTGATTATAATATTTAAATAAATAATAACGATCAAATAATAATATTTAATAGTTATATAAAATCTATGTTTACCAAGATTAAGTTTAATCTTCGTTTAATTTACTCTTTATTTTTTTCTAATGCTTAAAATTAAAAGAAGATAAAAAGTAAGTTAAACCGAGATTACAGTTAATACACATTGATAGAAATAGACATAAATAATGTATTTGTACTATTATTAAAACTATTCATATATTTTTAAATAATATATTTATTTTTAATGTAGATGTATGATTACTTTATTCTTGGCGTATAGGTTTGGCAATATCAGTCGCAGTATCGTTGCCAGTCACCGGTCACAGCGATAGCCACTACAAAACTATCCATAGTGACAACTTTACCGCCTCCCAGTTATGTAATAATAGCATTAGCGGACTCGTCGGTGCATTGCCTAAATCGTTTGGACTGTTTGAAGGAAGTGGCATTCTCATCCCTGAATACAAGCTGGCGTCCAGATGAGCCTAGCAACAAATACTTCAAGAATTCTGTATCTATCGCCCATATGGATCTTTCATGGCTAGGATGTGTACTTCTTGCGTGCGACACTCAGGGCAATATGTATCTCTATAAATTGTTGCCAGACGGTACCACAGGTATACAACCAAATTTTTTCTTTATTTGAAATTAATTAATTCATTAACATTCGTTCTCTTAGTTACAGGATATTTCTTACGCGAAATATGATCAAAACAATACATGTGATTTTGCAGGTACGTCGATGTCGCTAAGCTATGCCTGTACATTACTCGAGTATTGCTTGGTGACTGGATTGGATTGGTTGGACATACTTTTATGTCTGAGATCGTCCACGATTGAAGCATTATGTGAACGATTAGACGTTTCCTTTAATAGACAATTACAATCTACACAGCAATATCATTACATCCTATTTTTATCCATCAAGACATCGCTGTATAGGTGTGTAACTAGATATTTGTATATGTGAAAAGGTGTTTTTGATATGAATAAATTTTCTTCTAAATTAGTTTTTAAATCGGTTTAAAAGAATATCTCGGAGTTAGACTTGCGTTTGAAGAAGTGCGTTTGAAGATTTTTTTAGGAGTTGGAGTGATATGAAAAAGATTATCTCAAACTCCAGAAAGATTAACGTTTGCAATTATTATTTTCAGAATGCTCGTAACAGGACAGAACAAGGCGGCGGATTTGTCATCGTTACTGATGATACATTCAGTAGCTACTGCCTTCAAATCTTTACTGAGACCATCGGACCTGATATCCCATGACAAAGGACCAGCGGAAAGTTTAGCCGCAGTGATAACTGATGTCATTACTGATGTTGATAAGGTATTGAAATCAAAATTCTACTTCAAGCATCTCGATCAGCTGAATTTCCGTGAATCAAATTTCTCATCCTACTCTTCTTTATTTTCTTTTCCATTCAATGATTTGCCATAGAATAAAAATAACTCGTGAAGCTTAGATATAACATAATAAAATATGACATAATTGTTCTTTAACAAATTAAAACTTTAATTAAAAGTTAATTGAAATAAATTACTTATTTACTTAATGTTTTACTTTAGGTGTTGCTGCATCTCGATCCGAAAGAGTTTACGGTAGAACCGAGCACGTTGCAATCGTTGCAGCAACTTATTCAATGGGTTGCTGACTTAGCTTTGAATTTGCTGGCCAGATTACCTGAGCAGAGGATGCAAGTGAAGACTGGTGGGGTAGGTACTTTTAGCAAATCTAATTATTGTTTCCGAAAATTACAAAACAATCCTTAAATCTAGATTTTTATGTCTATTTCTTCTAATATATTTTTGTGAATAAATCATTTTTTGTGGTACCAAATATCCATTATTGAATTTATATAATAAATTTCATATAATATAAAAATAACTATAGCCTTCTATTAAAATTAATTAAAATTATCTTCATATCATTTTTCATATTAGCTTTACTTTTTTGTTTTGCAGTATGAGCTTCTTAAGGATCACAAGGCCTTGAATACCGTTCGGGAGCTGTTGGTTATCATACGCATATGGGGATTACTTCGCCCGTCGTGTCTCCCAGTGTTTCTTCGCAGCGCAGACAACCTGGATGTTTTAGCCTTACTATTTTGCCTGTTATCAAAATTGGTACAACCTAACGGAGATACGCAGCAACAGGTGGACGATGGTTTGATTGGTACGTACATTAATTTCTTGAAATTTCTTAATAGTGAATGTAAGAATTAATTGAGTATAATATGATTTTTATTTATTGCAATATGAAACTTTTAATGACTTAATTCTATGAAGATTAATTAAAAAAGATAAGATTGATGATACATTTTTTGTCATAATTGAACAACAAAAAAAAATTATTTTATTTCGCTGTAATATTTTTTTTATTTGCTTTTATTTAAAAACATTTATATCTAAAAATGATATTAATTTATGAATTTCACAGTCCAAAAGCAGACAGATTTTATTACAAATTGAATTCTTCGTGTATTACTACGACTTGTGGTCAGGAAGTCTGATAAAAATACCACATCCTGAATAATTTTGATATTAGCAATATTAAATGGTTCGCATTATGTGTAACAGTTCTGCAGTAATATAATCGCGCAATAATACAGTAGCAAGTACATGGATCAGAAGAATTGCAAATAAGATACCTTGTGACAGTTCAATTATTACATTTTTCTCTCAATACAATACAAATATAATAATAATAATAGGATAATAATAGGATAATACATTCTAAGAAAAATACAACGCACGCACAAAAGGAAATCCTTCGAATCCATGAAGATATAATGACTACCAAGCTTGCGATCAAGCATAAAGACTCTCTAGTCTTGAAGGAAAACAGACTGCACGAAAAGAATTACACGATCCAACAGTCCAATAGGCTGAAAAGATACGAACACCTATCACTTCCTTGGTCAACTTTAAGCGTGTTCGTAGCTTACTGGTTCATCCTCTGTCCTCTAATTTGGGCCATATGTTACAAATTCGCATACTGGCCTTCGTATTGGTCTTTTCTCTTCTGGACAGTCGCATTTCTGATTTGGATCGTGATCATGTGCGGATTAATAATCTTCTGGAGACGTTTCCAAGTTGAACAAAGTCTTGAAATTAATGCGATCTCGAAATATGGTTCGGATAAAGAGAGGAGACCCCTGAGCGTTCATCAGATATCTGAAGGCGAGGAATTTCTAGGGACGAAGAAATGGAATGATTTTCATGAATCGGAATCTAAGATCAATCGAGAAAACCTCAAGAGGGATCTGCCACTTTTAGTGATACACAAACAAATATCAGGTGAAAATATCGAAGATACTGATGGAATGGTGTGTGTCGAAGAAAATGAGAAAACTCGCTCAAGCATCGCTAGTGATTATACTCAGAAAAGTCCTCTGCAGGATTATCTGAAATTGGTAACGGTATCGCCCTCGGAGGACGAAGTAAAATCCCCGAAGACGCCTATGTCGCCGAGGGATTTATTCTTCATCGATCTGATCCGCGAAGCAGAGAGGGTCGAGAGATCGTTGAAAACTAGAACGCTTCATTTCTTCCCGAGCGAAACAGCTAAGAGTGCGAAAACCATGAAAAGTATAACAAATGGAACGGAGCATAGAAAGGACATAAAAGATATGAAGGATGAGAATGTAAAGGACAAAAAGGATAATAAATTGAGATCAAAGCGTGAATCAAATTACTTCATAGCTGACGTGGAGAGTCCAACAAGTGAAAAAACAGAGGTCTTTCTTCAGATCAATCCAAATGTAGATGAAGAGACTGGATTAATTGTGATGGAAAAACCGATGATAATATTGCAATCCAATGAAGCATATTCGCAAGAAACCTTCACTTCATCAGTTATTAATTAAATCAGTTAATCGCCGGAAACAATTACTTACCCAGCAAACGAAAATAAATTGAAATGGATTGGAAATTTTTAATCCATCCATATTTTAAATCCATAAAAATGGATTGGTGGATTCCATATCAAAAATTTTTATATATGTAAAAGTTTAAATAAATTAAAGCAATAATTACAATTGAAATTCTATAGTTATTATTTTAAAACTTTTATACAAAAAATATATGTTAGCTGTATAATAAAAGAAACGTGTTAATATAAAATATACATAAAAGCGATTAATTTATTAATTAAAAATAAGGAATTTATACATGTAATCTTTATTGTACATATTTAGGTAGTTCTTTTTATGTTTTTTTTTGAAGGAGAATTCATGATATTTTTACGGTACAACTTTTTTTTTAACTCAGTTGAATTAAAACAAAAAATTTCTTATTCATAATTCTGAATAAAATAGTATTCGTAATGCATTTTTAAATGAAACAATGGATTTTCTACTCACAATTTTGAATTGAATAGTACTCATTTTAAAAGAAAAACTTTTTTATTCAATTGGATTAAAAAACTGCATTTTTTTTTCCTATTCAGAATTTTGAATTTAGTATTTACGAAATAGCTGATATTATTTTTAGATTCAACTGGATTGAAAAATTGCATTTCCTCTATTCAGAATTTTAAATTAAGCAGTATTCACCTATAATATTCTTTTTAGATTGAAAAGCATAGAAATATACTCTATGCCATTCCTATAAATGAATAAAAATGCATTCAGGATTGAAAAGGATCCTAACATTCAAAAGAATTTTAATATTGATGAATCCGTATTTCTTTGATCTAAATCCATTTAATTTATTTCAATTCATTCTCGTTTGCTGGATAACAGTTAATTAAAGAGTTCGAAAAATGTGATCTAAATGAAGAAAAGAGTTGAAGTTTTGTTCAAGAAAAAGCTGCTATATAAATAAAAAAATACTAGAAATGATAAAAGTGTTGGATTAAATACCTTGTTTTCTTCTACAAAAATTATGATTATCATATATAACTATTTATGTACATTATCAGATACACAAGATACACATCAGATTCACATTTTATCAATTTGGAATCAACAGTAACATCTTATATTTCCGATGCTGAAAGTTTTGAAGTAAAGACTTCTTTCAGATGAATGCTGCCTGCTGCCAAATCAGATCATGATTCCACAATTACATCAAGGCAACAGTATCACCGCTATAGTCTCCCCGATTTTGTTTTATCAGAACCTTCCATTACAGGTGAGAATTGTTTATTCACACAAAAAGAGAATATTACAATCATTTCTATTAAAAATATTCGAAATTGTTTGTTAATTTATATACATATGCATGTTATTTATTTACTATTATCATTTTGTGATTGCAGCTGGAATATGGAGTGGAACCTGAACAGTTGGTTTTTACGCCTGAAATGAATCCCGTTGAAGGTTGTATGCACAGCGGACAGATCGTGGACACGATACGACATTTGTATTTAGGAAGGCAGCCGCTTTTGGTGAAGCAGTGCACGAGGTATTATTAATTCATAAATTATATTGATTATTAACTAACAAAAAATATATAAAAAATATATATAAATATATAATATGTATCAACGATTCATAATAATACAAGGTGTCCTAATTAGCATCCCTGAAATATCTTCTAAGGTTTAGAGGAAAATTTGTATAACCAAAATTGCATGATCTGAAGGAATCTACCATATGGCGATAAATTTTTGTTTAGGTGGAGGCGCATCACAGAGATTTCAGGACTTCATTTTTTTAAATGGAATTATATGATTTTTTTTACCTAATATGATTCCTCTAGTTATTCTGCGTACAAAAATCTCAAGATAAAAGTATAAAAGTATTAAGATAGAAGTATCGAAAAATCAATACGAGATACCTTATTCTGGCACATATTGACATAAAATGTTAAATAATTAGTAAATTAATAATTTTTTGATACCTTAATACTTTTATGAACAGAATAATAAGATGAATCAATTGGTGCAATTGGTATAAAATATCTCATAAACTATTGATACTTCTATCTTAATACTTTTATACGCAAAATAAACTAGAGGAATTATATTACATAAAAAAATCATATAATTCCATTTAAGAAAAGTTGACTCTGAAATCTCTAAAGCGTCTTTACTTGAACAAAAATTATTATCGCCATGTGATAGACTTCTTTATCGTGCAATTTTAGTTAGATAAATTTTCCTATAGATCTTATAAATTCGAAGACATTTCAGGTGCTAGTTATTGGAACACTCTGTATAGCTTTATATATACTAATTAAATATGAAGGAGAATTATGATCAAAGTTAGACACTAATACATATATATTAAATAAATTTGTATAGGGCAGGCGGGTAGGAAATAAAAAAAACTTAAAAACTTGTGTAAACGAACATATAAATTATTTTAATAGAAATATCATCATGCTATTAATAATTACGGAACATAGAATGAATTTAAACTATGATTTTGAATGGTGACAATTTTGGATAAAGAATATTTCTTAAATAAACGCCTCATTTCGGAGATGTTTTTTCAAACGATAAAAGAACAGTTCGAATTTGCAAACTGAATATTTATATCACTCATGTTTCTATTTTAAATAATTTATGTACTGACTTTTAATACTTATTTATTGTATCTATGTTTGTACTTTTTTATATTTATGTTTAGTGTCCATTGCATCCATTAATTTGCCATTCTAATCTAAATATGTTACAGTACTCTTAATTCTCTTAATTTATTTTAATTTTTGACAATTCTTTTGACGTTCGTTATTTTACGATTTATTATTCACAAATTGTAATTACTACGAGGAAACTTTCATAGCACCGGTGAGTTATTCATCTATTACACATAATTATTTTAATAATTCTGAACAAATCATCGTCACTTATTGTTCAAATAAAATCACTCGGCCTACCAAGCACGACTGAATTTCGTTCTTCCTTGAAGAGCCAAACATTCAATATTGTATTTCAACGCTGAAGATGGCTCAAAACGGAACCGAACGTTCGTTTGTACAATTTGAATATAAATTTGTAGTTATGCACGGACAATTGCGTGTCGATTAGCCCTAATAATTTATTGTTGTGTTTGTAAAACTTGAGAATCCATAATTCTTTATTTTTTAATATTATTTATACATATTTTTTCGTTACATCTTTAGGTGCGGCGGTAAAGCGCAGGTACAGAACATGACGAGGACAGCTGCGATCAGAGCCTGGGATCAACGATGGACACGTGCTTGCCGATGCGGAGGTATTTGGCGAATTCACAAAGCCTCACAATAAAGGGCACTTAGGAATTTTTGTAAAAAGTTTATTTTGTCTGTTATAAACCGTGATACTGTAATTTTTTGGAGATCTATATAAAAGTAGATAAGAAATCTATAATATAAGAAGCGCCCAGTTTTATAAGGGAATTTTGGTCCCAGATGAACTGCCCGTATCAAAGGCTGGTTTATCCCTATTGATATATTCGCTGCTTGTCCATCTTCCCCTCCAGGGCGAACTCCAGAGGCATCGCCGTCATTACAAGCAAATCCAAATTCTGTGACCAGGGATCTTAGTCGATTAATGAACTGTACCAAATACATACATATTATTTCAACTGTCTTTTGTACAATCCGCTGTCACTGTGGGGAAGTGCCCTGGACGCAGAGAAATTGGATAAGACTAGTGGTACGCGATCATAATAGCGAACATTGAACAGCACTCAAGGAATTCATTTTACAAAGTTATGCATATTATGGAATCCTTTTTTTTATGCTCTAGCTAATCCTAGCTAAGTCTCAATGCTGTTCAGCCCAAACTGGGCATAGTAATATGAAAGAAGATAAACTATCGAGAGACATACATAAATATAAAAAGGTAACTAAGAGCTAAATACTGCGTGTATTCAAATGATCTACTTGCCAAATCAAAAATTTATAATCTAAAGATATTTGTTTATATTTTTAAAAGCGAAATCTTTGCAATTATTATTTTGTCCTATTTCATCATGTAAAAAGAATTTGCATTTTTTGCAATTTATATAAAAATGGAGGAAAATGCAGGAACGATGTAAAATAAATTAATAATTAAACGACGCGTTATTTACACGAATTACTTAATTAAGAAAGATAGAAAGTAAGTATAATTGCAGATGAGTGTATTTTAAAGTTAATTGTATAATACTTGCTCGTCCTTTGTATATTAAACGTAATTGTAAATATTTTCATAAATTAATAATAGATTTTACTTAAAATAAATTATTACTTTCGTGAATTAATAAATTATTACAAGCAAAATTATACAGTATTTAAATCGGATTTTATTATTTGAAATCTTGTTACAACTATTTCTCTTTTCTCTTCCATGCAAAAAAAACCAATGGGGAATGTTAATAAGCAAATTGAAATTTCTGATGTAATATCCAGTATATTATTGTTGCAGAAAAGTCGTTCAATGGCTTTCTCCTTTCTTGCCAGACACTCTCTTGAATTCTCCCATGTTCGTAGTCGAAATTGGTGAGCCGATTACGACTAGATGATCGATTCTCGTTGTTTCTGAGCCATTCTGGTTGTCTATCACAAAGATTTGAAGATTTTGCACATTCTGAAATTTGACATAACGCAGCAGTATCGGATTTCCCTCCTCGAGATCCTTAGTTGACAATCTATCGAAATCACACATATTAATTTTTTATTTAAAAAGTAAGCTAAAGAGAAATTCTGTTCTAACATTACTATACTAGAAACAATATTCTAAAAAAATAAAAAATTTTAACTACATTCAGAGAAAAATAGTAGAATAGCAACTATAAAGGCTTTCTAGAATTAATATACGTAATTATATAAACTATTTTATCGTTGCAATAATTAAAGATAGTTTATTCAACTATATTTTACACACACACACACACACACACACACACACACACACACACATTAATTCTATAAATAAAACTTATCACTTTATAAGTTGCTACTACTTTTTTTCCAAGTGTATCTATCTATATGAAGGAAGGATTTGATAATTTTAAACTGAATTAATTGATTTGCGATTAGAAAGATATTCAATAATTCTTGAAAATATTTTGAAGATATTTTTTATTCTTTCTTTGTATTCTATATCGATTTAAATATATCTTGCTGATTTATAATATAAGACTTACGTTAGGTCTTGAATGCTTGTATTGGAGCTTGCCATTTCAAAATCAATCGTTCTAGGCTGGTTGATAAATAGTTTAATATTTTTCGGCCCATTTTCCGTGGGTGCCTTGATCTTAAGTGAATGAACCTTAACGGGCTGCGAAAATGCGATGGACATTATCAACTGCTCGTCCTCGTCGCTCTGAAGATATCCGCTGTCCGAATTCAAACACTGAGAGAAAGTGTGATAATCCGATTCGTTTAAACATTCGCACTGCTGTTTCATTATGAAACTAGACAGATCCATCTGAAAAAGAAATCCCCGAAAGTTCTTCGGTTAATCATTAACGAAATAGAAGAAACGAAGTAAATTACAAATGCAGTGTAATTTTATTTTTATTATTTTTAAGCTTCGTTAAAATGATAAATGAGTTTTCAATAGTATTAATAGTTTCAATATATATATATTGAAAATTGTATATTCCTTTTTTATTAAAACTAATGTTAAAATTATAATCTTTTTATGTTCTTTTTCTCGGTTGATTTTATTTATATTTAAAAAAAACTAATATAAAAATATCTAAATTTATTTAAGTATCTTATCTAATTTAATGTAAATATAAACTGAATTGTACATTTTATATGCGCGCACGCGTGTATATATATATATATATAATCTTTTTTCT